CCTCTCCTCTGCCGGTTCGCTCGCACGGAGAGCTCACGACACTCATATCAACCGGAGCCCAGCGCGAACTGGCCGAACCGAGCAGACGCTCCACCCCGCGCCGTGATGAAGACGGCACGGTGCTGCCCACTTCACCAGAGGTCACGGGGGCTGTCCACGCAGTTGCGTCTCCAGCCGGCGCAGGAGCACACGCCTACTGCTTTAACACGTCACTCGCGCAGCCTGGGACTGGCAACAAGCCTGTGCGCAGAATTTTATTTTTCAATGGAGAAAATGATGCAATAGTATAATTACCGTATGATCAAGAAAAAGGAGCGCCAAACTTTACGAGTATAAGCGGTGTTTCTTAGCTGTAGACAAAAAGCTGTTTCTATTTATCCACACCAGAAGCATTCCACTTGCTTTCCAGCACAGAAACAGAAAGTCCTATAAGTATCATTCATTTATGTTGTGATTGTGCACATATTTTTGCGCTTCGTGCAGTATTATACGGTACTGCTTTCCTCCAAAGGAATCGCCGGGATGTCTAAGTGGGCGGGGCGTACGAAAACGTGCTTGTCATTACCGCTGCCGGAAGTCCCTCTCCCCTTCACGGGAACTGCTTTTCTATTGGCTGCTGTCACACTCCATCAACCCCCAGCCTGCGGCCCGTCACATTCTCAGAATGGATACACTCTGTGTCAATCTCCCTTTAAGGCTCGCCATTGGTCCACTTTCGCACTTCCCGTCCCGCCTCCCCGGTTTTTTTTTAGTTTCTTTACACAGAGGGAGAGAAACCCGAGCGACGCGGGAGGCAGGAGAGCGTGAGGCCTTTCCTAGGAAGAAGAAAAAAATCAAGAAGAGAAAAGATTGTGTTTGAAGCAACATAACGGCCGTTTGAGACGTTTTGGTTTCGTTTCTTTTCTCTGCTTTGTGAGGCCTTATCCGCCACGCCTTAGACGGCGTCATGCCCAGAGGAGGTAGGTTACAGTAGGCTGTCGGGTTTAGGGTAGGCTCATCCTGGTGAGGCAGCTGCCGAGGCTCCTGACAGGAAAGTGCTCGTTAGTCTGGTTCAGCCCGCAAGCGTGGGGTGTCCTCCGACATGCCTGATGCCGTAGCGGCGAGGGACCCGGCTGCGGGCGGGCGGGCGTGCTCGGTGAGAGGGGTGCAGCTGTGGACCGGGACCGGGACCGGGACCGCCAGCATGGCGCAGCTCGCTGTAGCATCTGCAGGCTGGTTCGCTTTCCGGGTCCGGCGGCCCGTGGGTCAGCCAGTACTGGTCCAAGGCTGCCCCGCGTTCCTGCGGCGGCTCAGCTCCTGGAGTCGCGGTCGTCCCGGCTGCTGCGGCCCCATGTGCTCCCAGACTGCGCGTTTACCGTCCTCCTCTCCCTCTCTCTGTCCTCCCTCTCCCTCTCTCTGTCCTCCCTCTCCCTCTCCCTGTCCTCCCTCTCCCTCTCCCTCTCTCCGTCCTCCTCTCTGCTCCAGGGAAGAAGGGACACAAGGGCCGCGGGAAGCAGTTCAGTAACCCGGAGGAGATCGACAGACAGATGCGGCTGGAGAGGGAGAAGGTGAGCTTGTGGTCTCCCCCAGTTCACAGCCGGAGCCCCCGGCCCAGTGACACCTCCCACTGTCCCCGCTGACTCCATAACCCCCCTGGCCCAGTGACACTCCAGACCCCCCCCGGCCCACAACACCCCCTGCAGTCCCCCCTGACTCCAGAACCCCCCGGCCCAGCGACACCTCCCACTGTCCCCGCTGACTCCAGAACCCCCCGGCCCAGCGACACCTCCCACTGTCCCCGCTGACTCCAGAACCCCCC